GCTGGATGGGGCTTGGGACAGTGGAAGGTGTCCCTGTCCATGGCACAGGGTGACACTGGATGGGCTTTAAGGTCCCTTCCAACCCAAACCATTCTGTGATTTTGTGATTCCATGAAACCTCGAATTCACAGACAACCCTACAAAAGCCTGCAGAGCAGAGCTTACTTGGTGGAACAGCAGGTTTTGCACTGTTGTAAACTGATCTGGTAAATGCTCTTTACCAGAAAAAAAATCTTAATGAATAAAGCTAAATAAATTTCAATACCCAAAGGCATGTTTTATGTAAGAAAGCATTACACTGAAATAATTTTCCACTCAGCAAAACCTATCTCCATTTCCCTTACCCAGTTTAATGTCCATGTGCTTGAAGCAAAGGAAAATTCCACATGATTGTATTTGCACAACAAAAGAGCATGAGGCTGGATGACAGATTTCACTAACATTAAGCAGGAAGTTGCTAAAAGAAAATCCAGGCATCTGCATTGAGGAGGGAAGTATTTGGAAATCTCTCTAAGGCGGGTTTTCTGTGCAGGTTTCCCACAGAAAGATAGCCTTTCAATATACAATGCTTACTAAAAATGGAACAGCAGAAGCAATTACCTTAATGTGAGTTGCAGCTGGTGACCAAAAGCAGATAAAGTGCCAGCTGACGTTTCTTTATGTAAAGGCAGTTACAAAATCTCATGACGTATTTCAGATCTGCCTGTGATCAAATGGCCACATCAGAAACACATGGAGGCTGTGTGGGGAAAAATGGGCTCTGCAAAAAAAATAAAAAACGGATCACGGGAGCAGGGAGGTTCATGGCTTAACTTTGGTAACAATTACCAATAACAATTGCCAAAACATCCTTTTCTTCAGTCAAGAAATGACGAAAAATATTTTCCATTTTAATAGGTACAGTTTATATAGGGAAAAAAAAAACCAACGCATAGATGAGTGTATCCAAATAAAGTCTCTGAAAAATAATTAGAATTTTTTTTTAAAAGTTTAAAAAAATACACAAGTCTAATCCAGAGTGTGGCTGCCAAAAATCTTATGTTTATCCAATAGTTCATGTTTATGGCCTTCTCCTTTAAATTCCCCATAAAAAGGAATTTAAAGTCTTGTGACCTAAAAAAAAAATTTAAAAATGGGACAGATCGTAGCTAGGATGAAATTTTCAGCCAGCCTCTGCCTCAAACTACCATATAGGATAAAAATGCTGTGCTTCATCCTCCATTCATCTACACTCCTTGGAAAAAGGTCGTCCTAGAGAGCTTCAAGCTGAGTTTAAGTAATTTAGGGCTTATTTGTCAGGAACTAGTCAGCAGGACTGAAGTTGTGACTACCAAGAGTGCCAATGAGGAAAGGAATCATCTAATACACTTCATCTGAACAAACAAAATACAGTTCTGAAAGCCATTTCTGCAGGGGCTTCATTCATTCCCTTTCATTTAAAATCATGGGGATTCAGTGTCTGGGCACCTCCCAAGGAAAGAGCTCAGCCTTGCTTTGGATCAGGTGGAGATCTGCATTTAAGCTGAGCAAAAGGGAGTAATTCTTGTGGGGTTTTTTTTTCTCTCAAACTATGTGTATCATGTCCCAAGCAGTGTACAGATGCCCTGTAGTAATAATATCATACAGGTACCTGGCAAAGAATTTGCAAAGCAAACAGGCCTGGGAGAAACCTGGGCACCACACATGACTGCAGAGGTATCTCATTTCACATCTCATCTCTGCAGGTAAATCTGATGTAAAGTCACTCTTCTCACCTGTTTCATTACAGCCTTTGACTAGTAACTGAGTCTGTCAAGAATGCCAGGGAATTAAAACAAGAACTCAGAGATGTTATTAGAAACAGACGCTTGGAAAGGGTTTGTTGAGCAGGGTTTACTTTATGCAGATGTTAATGGTAAAATAAAATCTATCATATTGGAAAACATTCCTCAAAACTCTTACTGGCTTGCAAATAAAACACAAGCTGTGGATTTATGTTGTTTTCCAGCAGCTGAAGTCCAAAGGCAAGCTGCTCTTAAAAAGGAAAATAAAAGGGGAGACTCAAACTTGCTCACATCTTGCCTAAGTCAGATGTAGATTTTTGTGCCACCCACCTATTTTATTGTTTTTTTCACATTTTTAAAAATATAATTCCAGGAATGAAACCAGCCCCAACTGAAGCTGATTTGGATGACAAGGTATGCTCCATTTCCCTACACAATGACTGATGTCCCCCTGAGGTGAGCTCCCAGCTCACCCTCCTGGTCCCCCAGCAACAGGTGTGTGCCAGCAGCCCCAGCCCATGCACAAACATTCCTTGCCAATCACTGTCCATGGGATTTCTCCTGAGGGCAAGGCAGTCCAGCTCCCAGCTCTCACACCCTCTATTTTCATATGTAGTTTTGCCTGGAATCATGTTCCAAACAATTCCAAAATTGCAGTAGCCTGGAAACCCCATAAACAAGGCACCTTTTTACTGAAATTTTCGCAAACCTCCCTTGTCTCCAAACCAGGTAATGAGTACTTTTGTTTTCCAGCATGACCCAGGGTGCCAGTGAAACTGGGACCCAAGTGATCAGAGTGCTCCATGAGGACACAGCAGGAGGACACAGGAAAGTAGAACTTAGCTGTCTAGCCAGGGTGATCCCATGAAAGCACAAAGCAATTTCATAATCAAACCCTTCTGTTAAGAGAGTTCTAATACTGCAAAAGGCATAGAACAGGAGCTTAAAGACACCAACTTCCCCTGGAGGTGCTTCAGTTCTCAAGAACATTGTTGGAACATCCAGGATTGTTATCGTATCCATGTCCAATCAGCCTTGGAGTGTGCTTGCATTGGGAGCAATGTATCCAAGCTGACAGCAGACTTCAGATTGAGCTCCTTCTGCCATGAAAGAGCAGCAAAAAGGCACAGAGCAAATGACATCCCAGGAAACTACTGTGCTACAAAACCTGAGATTGCCACAGTCACAAAGGGAGGGAAGATATTTCAAACAGATTAAAAAGGCTCAAGGATGAATTCAGCGCTAATTCAGCTGGGTTCAGCTGACCTACTGCAAAATGGAGCAGCACCAGTGCCAAGAGACACTGTTTTCCCTGCTGCCACTCCATCTCTCCTTCTTTTGTTGGCATTACTGAAGCATGTCAATCCTTACAAGTCACTGCATCCTCTGTCCTGAACCCTTGCCTTGGAAAGGTGTGAATTTTTGCAGTTAAACCTAAAATAGAAACAGGAATAGCTTCAGGGAATTGCCTCCTGCAGAAATGTCAGCAAATGCAAAAAGGCTGAGGTTGACGAAGGTTCTCTGTTCCACAGGCTGCTCTGACCTGGGCCAAAAGGTACTTCAAGTAACAGAAAGAAAAATAACATTAATTCTTAGCAAAGATGGTTTATGCGCTAAAAACGAAAAGAGCATTTTGTTGATGCATAAAATCTCCACCTGGTGGTGAATCCTGCCACAGCAAACTTCCATTTCTGAGAAAAATTCCCTTTCCAACATATAACCAGTTCTTTACCTGAGATAATCCCAAAGCAACAAATGGGGAAGGGCAGCCTTCTGAGAAGCAGCACTATTGTATCTCCCTCATTTTTCATTATTTTGAAGAGCTGAAGGACCCCTTCAATTCTACTGCAGCTGACAGTGACACAAGGGACCTTCCCCAGCCAAAATCAGACTTGAGAGAGCTCACGTCACACTGACTGCAGCATTGAGTGGAGGGGGTGGGGGGTGCTGACTGGTTTCCAGCTGCAGAAGTACTGCTTCTCAAGGGGAAACATCCTCTCCAAAGCCTGGAGTTCTGCCATGTTTCTTGGTTTACATATTGATTAATTGTAATAATTGAAAACTTTAAGCATCATCAGTTATTTCTATCTCCAGGGTCCTCTAAATCATAGCACAGTTACCTTTGTATTATCATTTTAGGGGCAATTGTCTGGATTCAATTTTCCCCTTAATGGTGCTGGAAACAACTCTGGAAACATTTTCCTATGCATGTTATTTAAACACAGAGTCTCATTTGCCTGCTGTTTGCAGTAAAGTCTTACAGTGTGACAGCATCCAAGAAAGCTTTGTGAGATGGAACAAAATCAGTGTGAGATGGACATATGAAATGTATGAGAATGTGTGTAGACCCTTGGTGCTATGCATGGCATAGCCTGATCCACTGGATAATCAACATTCCATATTTAATTGATTTGGCTTATGCAAGAAAAAATATCACTTTTTTTACACTTGATAAGACTGAGCAAGACGTGGCTGTGCCACAGGCCCCCGGTTCAGCTGGGCTGACAGAGACATCTTCTGCTGAAGTGTATGACCCAGCCTGTGGTTTCTGCATGAAAATGTATAAAGAAATATTATCTGCCTTCTCTTGATTATGCAACTTTTTGTGTACCAGTCTTAAAACATCCAGACAGACTCACCACTGATGTACACTAGTTACTCACGAACTACAATACGCTTTGGGGCCAAAAATAAGATTGTGTTTAAATCGGCCTGAATCCACTTTCTGTCAAGTCACAGATTTGTAGTTCAAACATCAGCAAATGCCACTATGGGGTTTTGGTGTTTAATGCTGGCATCCATCGAGGGCGAAAGTGCAGCTCCACGCTGGGTTGCACAACCGCATGACATCCTCCTGTTTTCATTGTCGCTCCTCACGCACTAAAAATAGTAGCAAAGGGTAAATAATCTATGACCAAAAGATAAAGTATTGATTCCCTCCAGCATTCCTTCCTTCCTTCCTTCCCACGGCGCGGGGCGCTCCGCAGCGCGGGCGCTCTGCCGCCCGTGTGCGCCGCAGCCCTGCGAGCCGCTGCTGCATGAATGGAATGGATTAAACCAACAGCGAGCCGTCATTGAGCGGAGCCGGGCGCTGCCAGCGGCCCCGCGCCGTAGCCATAGCCGCCCCGCACATCTCCCCGCGAGGGGCCAGACTGGGACGGGCGGGGCGGGAGCAGAAATTCCGTGCTCCGTTCATGCTTCCGGCTGTGACTCACTCCGCGCTGCCATAAATACGGGATGTGCGGCAGGGGCCGCCACACTTGGAGCTGCCGAGCCAGCACCGCCAGCCCAGCACAGCCCAGCCAAAGCCAGCCATGCCGCTGCTGCCCCTTGCCCTGCTGGCCGCGCTGCTGGCCGCCGGCCGCGCCGGTGAGTCCGCGCCGCGCTCCGGATTAACGCGCGCTTTGCCTTTCTGCTTCTCCTGCTCCTCGCTCTCTTGGCATTTCTCTGCTGTGTGTGAGTGCCAGGTCCCCGCTGGCCTGTGAGGGATGATCTCCCCTTCTGAGGGGGGTTATTGCTGGCAGCAGACAAGAATTCCTGCGCTTTTCAAGCTGCTCTCTGGTAGCCCAGGGGTTGCCGTGGATGGATGGTCGCTGTGATGCCTTCCCGATCAGCCTTAAACTCCAGGGCGTTCTTGTTGGTTGTCTAAAGCCCTGGGAAGGTGGGAATGTATTGCAGAGATGCTAACCCCAGCTCTGGTTCCCCGCAGCCAACCCTTGCTGCTCGAACCCCTGCCAGAACAGAGGCGTCTGCATGACCGCAGGGCCAGATCGCTACGAGTGCGACTGCACCAGGACAGGCTTCTACGGGCAGAACTGCACCACACGTGAGTATCCCACACCCCTCTCCCAAATGAAACTCATAGTCCAATTCCAGCATTGCAGGTTATCCTCCATAATCTAATTGATAATAACCTTCCCATTGTCGTTTGCAGCGGAATTCTTCACGTGGCTGAAGCTAGCATTGAAACCATCACCAAACACTGTCCACTACATCCTCACCCACTTCCAAGGAGTCTGGAATATCATCAACAACATTCCCTTCTTAAGGGACACTATTATGAGATATGTACTAACGTGTAAGTGTGAATTGTCTCTTCCAGTCCTCTTAAAGCTTACTCCAGAATATTGCAATGAATTGATCTGTTTACAAACCAAGCAGCCTAAATTGCACCGAAATTAAAACACCAAAATTTAAGACTTCTGCATGATGCAGGCTTGTATGAAACATGCTGAAGTGCAGCTTGATTCTACTTTCTGCAAGAGTCCAGGATTTTGCTGACATGAACTTGGCACCCCATTGCTTGTGTTAATAGTGAGATCCAGCTGATCAGCCAGGATCCAGTCCTGTTATTCAGTAACTGTAATCATATTTAACATCAGTAACTGATATGTGTGGAATTTACAACTGCTGCCAAATATATGTAAAATACCTGGCTTTGTGATTTACTCTTTGAGCCTAAAATGTAGAGTTAAAAATAACCAAATATTTATTTGTCTTTCAGCAAGATCACACTTGATTGACAGCCCACCAACTTACAATAGTGACTACAATTACAAAAGCTGGGAAGCTTATTCCAACCTTTCCTACTACACAAGAAGCCTTCCACCAGTAGGACTTGACTGCCCAACACCAATGGGTGTTAAAGGTGAGGAATAAACCAGACACATAATGATTGCTTGCTCTTTTCTAAGAGGAAAAAATAAGTAGTAGTTCCTATGAGACCCGCTTGTCTGTAGCCTATTTTCAGTGTAGTTGACTTTATGAATAACCATGTTTTGGATATATTGTTTGAAGACCTAAAAGATATTATTTTGGTTCTTGCTATTGAGTTATATGCTAAAAGCAGGGAATTTAGAAATTTCTGATAAAATCAAGAAAGTGAGCATAGAAGAGTACGTAATTCCCCTTGTTTGTATGCTGCTGTCATTATATTCCACTGAAAGTCTTAAGCCTTTTTGGTAGGAATAAACTTCAGTATTGCATAAAGAGTTGTCTTGAGTATCTCACTGTCTGTTTCTCCCACAGGGAAGAAAGAGCTCCCAGATTCGAAGCTGATTGTGGAGAAGTTTTTGCTGAGGAGAAAGTTTATTCCTGACCCACAAGGCACAAATGTGATGTTCACCTTCTTTGCCCAGCACTTCACCCACCAGTTCTTCAAGACGGACCAGAAGCGGGGCCCTGCCTTCACCAGAGCGCTCGGCCATGGGGTACGGTCACAGCTGGGGACACGGCTCGTGCTCTTTGGGAGCTGCTGAGCACCTGGAATGGCCAGAATGGCATCCAGGGGACACCTGTGCACACACTGTGCCACAATCCATGGGATTACCCCTTCTGTAGCTGCTCCTCAGGCCAAATTCCAGTGTTCAGCAGCGTCTCTTCCCGGGTCAGAACCACGTGCTCTGCACAAGTGGTTCTGTTTAAAATACCTGCCCAGTGATCTCTTACTGTTCCCAAAATCTGCTTTCACCTAAAGCACGTTAGATGTAGCGAGTATCCAAAACTTCTCTGGACTCTGTCAGTTCCAAAGAGACGTATCCAGCACTTAAGTATTGCTTATGTACTGCCAGTAGCCTTAGTTTAAAAAGAACTTCAAAAACATACTTGGATTTAAGATCTTTACCTACAAGATTGGCATTCTTTGGACAAAGAGTTCTTCACTATAAGTGTCACTCTTACGTCCAAACCCAAGCTGTAAATTTTGTGTGTATATATAGAAAGCTGTCTGCATAATAAAAAATTGCTGACACTTTAAACAGAGTCCTTTTATATTGCTGATGTAACAACCTCCTCTTATGCAGAGATGGCTCCAGTTGCCAGGAAATAATTTGGCTTCATCTTAAATATCGGTGCATGATACTTATAAAGTAGCGGTAATATAATTGAAAGGTAAACATCTAGGGGGTGAACTCCTATTGGTATCCATAGAACAGGGACTTATCCTAAAATAGCAAAAAATGGAGGTTGGCTTCATGTCCCAAATGCTTTTATTTTATAGGTTGACTTGAACCACATTTATGGAGAGACTCTGGAGAGACAACTTAAACTGAGGCTTCGAAAGGATGGAAAGCTAAAGTACCAGGTATGTCTTAGCTCAGAATTCCTACCTTCTTACTGGATGGCATAGACTTCCTACATTAGTGCTGTGTGAATGGTGTAGGTGATCTAAAGCGTGAGTCAGAACTGAGAGAGTGGACAGAGCTTTACCAAAGTATCATAGCTCACAGCTCCTGCTGTTTCCCCCTTGCACAGATGATCGATGGAGAAATGTACCCTCCGACGGTGCGGGACACGCAGGCAGAGATGCTGTACCCACCCCACGTGCCCGAGCACCTGCGCTTCTCCGTGGGGCAGGAGGTGTTTGGGCTGGTGCCGGGGCTCATGATGTACGCCACGATCTGGCTGCGCGAGCACAACCGCGTCTGCGACGTGCTCAAGCACCAGCACCCCGAGTGGGACGACGAGCAGCTCTTCCAGACCGCCCGGCTCATTCTCATCGGTGAGAACCCAGCTCCAGCCTGCGTGGATGGAGTGAGGGGGAAGCTATCCCCTAAACTGGGGTGGGTGGGAGTGGCTCCTTCGTGGCCTGTCACTGGGGTTGTGTTGAGGTGCAGCTTGCCCCAGCTCTGCTAAAGATGGAACTGAAGAAAACTCAGGGGAAGTCAATTCCCTCATCTGAGGGAAGCAGAACTGAAAGCAATGAAAAGACAGGAAGCTGAGGTTCCTTTCTCAGAGAAAGCCTGCGAGGCTGGGTGACCTCAGGCTCCCTGATCTGGGGTTTTGGTTTTTTTTCCCTAGGGTTGGGTCAGCTCAGGTATGCTTTAAAAGAAAGGCTGTGATTAAGTCTAAAGTTCAGAAGGTTATGTAAAATGTAACTCTGCATAGTTCTCCTGTCTTAATTGCATGCCCAGTGAAATTTCATCTTATGTAAATGCTGAGGTGCTCTAAGCTGGAAAAAACCTTGCCCCAGCTAAAACCAGAAACGAAGACAATTGTATTACGTAGTTCAGAAGCTGAGATCTGTTTTCAGACATCAACTTTCTTCATTATCCCCTCCCTCTGTCCTAGAGATATTGTATAACTGAACACAGTGTAAATACTGGTGTGTGCTGTTCTGTGGAGGGTACAAGGAATTGTGTCTTGGGAGGGGGAAAGCAGGCTGTAGAAAATACCTCACTACCCACAGCCAAGAACTCTTGGTATCTGAAGTACTGTTCCACCCCTTAGTCACATAAAATACATGAATTGCTTTCTAGGAAAGATTACAGAAAAGTGTTTGTTGTCCTGATCACTGTAGTATATTATAGAACAGTTCAGAAATGGTGCTTTCCCTGCCACTGAGAAGAAGCAGTGCCAACATTCTCTCCTGTTCCTTTGTCCAACAGGAGAGACAATCAAGATCGTTATAGAGGACTATGTGCAGCACCTGAGTGGGTACCACTTCAAGCTGAAGTTTGACCCTGAGCTGCTGTTCAACCAGAAGTTCCAGTACCAGAACCGCATTGCAGCCGAGTTCAACACCCTGTACCACTGGCACCCGCTGCTGCCCGACACCTTCCAGATCCACGACCAGGAGTACACCTTCCAGCAGTTCCTCTACAACAACTCCATCATGCTGGAGCATGGACTCTCCCATATGGTCAAATCTTTCTCCAAGCAAAGTGCTGGCAGGGTAGGTCCTTCCTCAAGTTGATGGTGGTGAACCAACAGAAGCATGAGCCTCTGTGGGTGGGACAAGGGAATGGGATAAAGCTATTTAAAACTAATCACTGGAAAGTCACAACTTTCTCGTGACTCATATCAGGAGATCTTACAGCTTTTCCTCTTTAATGTACAGGTTGCTGGTGGGAAGAATATTCCTGCTGCAGTGCAGAAAGTTGCAAAGGCCTCCATTGACCAAAGCAGGCAGATGAGGTACCAGTCCTTGAATGAGTACAGGAAACGCTTCATGCTGAAACCGTTCCAATCCTTCGAAGAGCTTACAGGTAACAGTCCTCATCCTTCCCAGCAAATGAGAGACATTGCCTTAAAATGCCCACAGAGTCCTGCAGTGTCATTGCTGGGCTTGAGCAGGACAGTCCTGCACAGAAAATGGGAGTTTTCCATTTACAGTTTTTAATCATTGCAGGAGAAAAAGAGATGGCAGCGGAGCTGGAGGAGCTGTACGGGGACATCGATGCCATGGAGCTGTACCCAGGCCTGCTGGTGGAGAAGCCCCGGCCCGGGGCCATCTTTGGGGAGACCATGGTGGAGATGGGGGCCCCGTTCTCCCTGAAGGGGCTGATGGGCAACGCCATCTGCTCCCCGGAGTACTGGAAGCCCAGCACCTTCGGGGGCAAAGTGGGCTTCGACATCGTCAACACGGCCTCCCTGCAGAAGCTCATCTGCAACAACGTGAAGGGCTGTCCCTTCACCGCCTTCCACATCCTGCCTCCCGAGCCCACCGAGGCCACCATTAACGTTAGTACCTCAAAAACTGCCATGGAAGATATCAACCCCACGCTCCTGCTGAAAGAGCGCTCTGCCGAGCTGTAGGAATCCAGCTCTCTCTCTATTTATTTATTTATTTATTTAACTGTGTTATTTATTCTATTTAATGACTTAGTATTTAAAAAACCAACTTAAGCATCTTCGTTGTGGGGGTTGCCTTAAATTCCTTACTGAAGTAAGGCTTCCATTTACAAAAGGGATTTTCTGTGTTTCAGCTTGACAGTGGTGAATCCCTTGTTTAAAATCTTCTGTAACAGAATGACGTATTCCAAAGTGGATGAAGGTTCCAACTTCTTTTTACTATTGTTTCAATACTTGATGAAGGGGGCTGGTGGTGATTCTGTCTGACAGTTTTCATAGGTCACATAACACTACAAAAGCAACTTTTTTCCTCAGCAAGTTGAAAGCAGCTATTGACCTAAAAGTACAAGAAAAAATCTGACTTAATGAAAACTGCCAGAAAAGATTATGGATTTCATATGAGCACTCAAAAATTAACAAAAAAATACTTGAGATTCACTTCTTTATGTAAGGTCAGAAAATGCATTGCATTTGTTGTTGATACTACCTCTCCCTCACTGCAGAGAGGGCACTTTGTATCATAACTTATTGTCTCTTATGTACAAATCCACTTCTGGATTTAGATGAAAGTAATTTTTTACAGCTTTTTAAAAATATGTTTTTAATGTTTTAAATATTTAAAGTAAAATTTTTTACAAGTTTTTTTAAAAAATATTTTTAATGTTTTCAGTATTTAAGAAAATAGTACTTTTCCTGGATTCTACTTTTTTTGAAGGAAGTGTGACAGATGTATTAGTTGTGTAAGGGGGTGAAAATGAGATACTAAGCTTAGCAGTTACTGACTCTCAGGCTGCAATACAAGGCTGCTTGCATTTGGATAGGGATATTTTTATTATGTAACTCTGGGGAGGTCTTAAACTTGGCCCAAGGCACTGGGATTCTTTTCATAGCTGTAGTTCTCTGGTCTACTTGAAAATGTAGTTTTAATGTCTGTTACTCCAAGGACAGGAGGACAGTATAGCTGGAGTTAGGGTGTGCTGTGGCTTTGTGTTCCCAAAAACAGGGGAGCTGTGAACTGAGCAGCTCTGTAAATACACAGAGAACTGAACACAAGAGCTTCAGCAGCACTTCCAGGCACAGGAGGTAGCTCTGCCTGTGTGCACAAGCTGTACATATAATTTGTACTTCTATTTATTGGGGGGGGAGGAGGGATAATGTTTTATTTATAATTTATTAACAGAGTTATTTTAAGTTAAGTGGCTTAAGCTTCTTTAAAACCGGCCAGCACAAAATCTCCTAGACATATTTGTCCTAATCCAGCAGTAAAATATCTAGTCTCATCTGGGCACATAGGTTACACAGGATCTTGTATAGGACTTCAGACTTTGCATGTAAGGGTATCTTTTTTTAATTTCTAGAGAGGAAATAGAGAAGATGATCCTCCCAAAAAAGCAGCTGGGGAACTATAGGGAAAAAGAAAATGTCACTTCAGACTGGAATAGAGCAGCAACCGGGTATTCTGTGCCCCTGCCCAAAATTACTTGACTACTTGTGGAAAAGAACTTGAGTTTTCTATTTCATCTGAACTCTCAAGCACTTGTAGAGGCTTGTGCATTTGTACCAGCTCTGGCAGCAGTGTAGTTTGTGTGTGGCTTCTGTTTCCATGGATTTGTGTAGAGCCAGCCATGCCTCGTGCTGGGTAGGGCTGTAGTTGTGGCCATGAACAGCAGAACCGAGCTCTCCTGCAGCCATCGATACCAGTGACTCATCTGGAGTGGTCCTTGGTATGGATGCTGTGGGAGCAAGAAGGGCATTTGTTTTCCTTTCTCTGTTGGAAGCACGAAGAAGGGAAAACCTTCTCTCCCCTGGTAATCCAAGGTGGTCAGTACTGTACATGCTAACAAGTGAACACTGCTCGGACACTTGTTCCTCATGCAAATTGTCCATCAGACCCAGCTCTGGGCACCCTTCTGCCATTAACCCAGGAGCAGGGTTTGGCAGAGTCAAAGGGAGACAAGTCTGGACAGATTGAGTTATTTTGGGGTAGGCACAGAGGAATTCCTCAGACCATCTCTCTTGAGTTAAATTACAGGCTGCTTCAGCAAGGATTCCTGTGCACTCTGCGTTCTGTACTCTGCAGCCGCTAAATGTGGATGTTTGAGATTATTTATTTAAAATTCTGTGAATTGTTTTTCACTTTATTTTTGTAGGACAACAATGTTGTTAAAATGCAATTGTTTATATAAATAAATTGAAAACATTACCTTTATGTGCTCCTTTGTTTGTGTTTTCCTTCAGCAGTATTTAGGGTGGAACAGTTCTTTAATTGATTACATGGAGAATTACAGGGCATTACCAGCTGCACTAAATTCTCTGATGTGTCAAACCCAAGATGCCTGTAGCTTAAATTGCCCAGATGCAGTAATTTTTTTCTCTTTGGCCTCAAGTGAAAAGTGATTTCACTGTTCTATCCCTGGAGTAGCCAGCTCCTCTTATCTACATTCGAGATGCCAGCACAGCCCTGGCAGCTTCAAAGGGAAAGTACAATACTGGAGTTGCACAACACCACCTTGGTGTAACTAACTTCCCTTCCTCTCTTCCCTTTTCCCAGGCTAGAACAGCTTAGAGCAGTTTCCTTTCATGCTTGGCATTCTCCAGAAGGGGAAACTGCTTTGGGGTGCAAGTGACCACTAGACCAGAGCAGGGCTCTGCTTCCTGAAAGCTGGAGCTGGAGCTTGGACAATGTGTCCCTCTCTTGCAGTAAGCACCTTTGAGGCCACCCAGCTTCTTCCCTACATTTTCACCTCTGGTGAGAAATGAGGGGAGGCTGAGAAGGAGACGTCCCAGAGGATCACTGTACTGCCTGTCAGTCACCACCTGCACCAGCCTCTGAGCAAATGGCACCTCAGTCCCCTTCCATCATCCCACTGCTGACTGTCCCCAGTATTCCCCCATCCCAGTATTGGCACCCTGTCCTCTCACAGCCTCTGCCTAGAGACCAACCCCAGAGCCACAGTACTTCACCCAGAGTCACCTTCCTTCTAGCCACCCAAAGTCCTCTCTGGTCCAAGCTCATCCCAGTGTCCCACAGGTCAATATTCCCAACACTCCAGCCCTGAGAGTGTGACAGTTCTGCCTCTGCTTTGGGGCTCCTTTCCATGTCCATAGATGTGCAGTTCCTTTGCATTCCTACTCTACCCAGGCACCTAAAACACCTCCAGCAATTCTCCTCACCACTCACTCCTCATACTTCAGTGACCATCTTCAGTCCCAGAAACTAAACATCCTGAGAACCCTTGCAAAGCATCACTTCAGTGCCTATCCAGGCTGTGGGTGAATGGGGGCAGGTTCAGACCACATGTGGGGCTCTTTTCCTTTGACACCAGTCAGCTCATTGTCCCCACAGGTGAATTGCCACTTCCCTGTTTGGGGAGAAGCTGAGCAGGGGAGGAGGGAAGACAAGGCCGGTGGTTTCAGTGGGAGATGACGAGCAGCGATCAGGAGGCTGCAGGATCATCCATGGAGAAGGTGTTTTGGGTGACTGCTGCCCTAATTAGGGAAGGGCCAACCCGAATGGATTCTAGCACAATGGCTGAGATAGTTTGATCGAGGAAGAGCTCCTCCTTCCCTCTGAGCAGGGGCATGTCCTGATGACACAAAAGACAAGAATGTTCCCCAGAGGAACATTCCCTCCCTGCCCTGCCAAATTCTTGCTCTCCAGCCGGGGTTGAGGGAACTGTTGCACCCTTGGAAGTGTGATAAAGGAGGGGGGCTCAGTAGGAAGTCCATCCAGGCTGAGGAGAGCTCCATGCTTTGGAAGCAGGTCCCCTCCCTTCCTTGCCAAGGGCTTTCCCCAGCATCACTTCCTCTCTGCCCACTGCTTAGGAATTCCTCGCGTGCGCTGAGTTGGAGCCCTGCAGGCACCTGACTAGGTTGGGTTCTGCACCTGAGCTGAGCTGAGCTGAGCTGAGCTGAGCTCCCAAGGCAGCTGCTTCTCCAGATTCCAGGAGATCTTCCTGCAACAAGTGGCCGTAAGAAAATAATCCTTTGGTTTTCAGCATCAATCCAGAGAAGTCAACAGGTGCCTTGATTGGAGAGAGGGAAGGGATCTGTCATGTGTTCCCTGCCTGTCCACAGCCAATGAAATAGGTGAACAGCTCTGGAAATTGCAAATCTGTGCTGTTCCCTTTGGAAGACTGGGAAGGAAAACACCAAAATGTTGTAGGAATGTGCATATAGGACAGAAAAGAGCAGGTTCTATGCTCTAAATGTGGAAAAGGAGGTGATCTGAGACATCCTACCCGCTTTCCTAAAATGCATGAAAAGGGCCACACAAGGCAGAAATGCAGCGATATCCCAAAGGAATATCATAGGGAAAAAGCCCTCCCTGGGAAGAGCTGAGTGCTCCCTTTCCTTTAATCTGGGATTTCAGTTTGCAAATAACATACTGAGGAGCAGTATGTTGGATTCAATTTGTAATTCTTTCCTCTGATCCTCTTGGGGTTTTTTCCTATTAGCATAAAATCTGGGAGTTCTGTGCTTACTTACAAAGTCCAGATATTTTCATCAATATTGGCAAGATACAGATCACAACCAAAATCAAACCCAAGCCAATTTTCCATTCTGTGCTCTTCTTGTCTGAAAATCTCAGCATTCACGTGCAGCCAAAGCTGGGGAAAGCAAAGCCAGAGGTGGCCTGGGCAAGTTGGGAGCTGAGCAGCTTTGGGAGAGGGAACCTGTTAAAGCTGGTGAGATCTCACTGGTTTGCTATTGGAGAGGGCAGGGTACAGAGCACTCTGAATTTGACTCATGCTGGTTACTTTTCATCCAGGGGGCATTCCTCATTGGAGAGAAAGCAAGGCAGGGAAACCCTAAACCTGGGGGAAGAAGGCAAATAATGTTCAAAACATCTGCTTTCAAATCAACCCACTACACACCCACTGAGGATCTCTGGATCAATGCCTCATCCCTGGAAGTGTCCAAGGCCAGGCTGAATGAGGTTTGGAGCAACCTGGACACCTGGA